GCCAACTCTTGGGCTACTCTTTTACCAACGAATAGTGGGATTGACCGTCACATTATAACGGTCCCACGGCTGAAAGGGCGAGCATATTTGGTGTGACGGGGATTCCAACCCGCGACCCTCAGATTGCAAGTCGAGCGCCCTAACCACCTGGCCATGCCGGGCCACAATTTGCAAGATGATCTGGATGCACAGTCAAAAGGATGACGAACACTGAAATCTAAAATAATACCTCTTATCATCAGTCATCAGGTCTTCAGAATCCAAAACTCATGAAGAAAATATTCGATACGTCTTATAAAATTAGAAGAAAAAAAACTTTCATCCAACGTTTCTTGTATTACTTACCCTGATGAAGCCGCAATGGCGAAACGTTGGATGAAATATATGGTTTATCGTCATCATTATTATTATTATCTGGAAAGTAAACATTTTTTTCTTTCTAACTTTATTGTCAAAATTTATAAATCCCTCCAGTGTGCACTACAAATCCGAGAAACAAAACAAGGCCTAACATTCAAACCAACGAAATTAACTGAGGATAAAAACAGGTGCGTTTAAAAAAAAAACTTCTCCCGCCATTCTTGCTATTTTAGAAAATTGTCCTTAATTCAACCACAGAGTTATAACTCCATTTGGACGATAACGACCTTCACTGTGACCTGGACTGTCAAGGTATAATAATTGATAATATTGAAACATAAGAAAACTCAACGAGATAATGAGAGAAATTGGGTCCATTTCTTATTATTTAGATAAGCATAATACGCTTTTGACCAGTCATCAAATCAAACCACGATATTACACAAACTCGACACTGGACTTAGAAGTTCATACTGTTGACCAACTTCTACTTAACGTTGTTTTTTACCAGACATCAAACCCACGATATTACACAGAATCGACACTGGACTTAGAAGTTCATACTGTTGACCACCTTCGACTTAACGTTGTTTTTTACCAGACATCAAACCCACGATATTACACAGAATCGACACTGGACTTAGAAGTTCATACTGTTGACCACCTTCGGCTTAACAGTAAATGTTGCTTGGTTTAATCTAACTAAAACAATCTAGAGATGAAGGAATGTCCTGGGAGTGGG